TWMCYKGSMWTYCCCAGGTGCCTCTCAGATTCAGATAACAAGCAGGTGCCTTATCTCTAGTACTTGCCATCACGGTGCTTTTTGATAAGGGATTACAGCACCACCACTTTGCAGAAAAGTTTTGATTTCCATTCTGTACTTTCTAAGTTTGCAAAAGAATGCTGTGCTTGCCTTGAGCTCTGGTGCAGCTGGCACTGATCTGTTCAGCTGGCAATGCTGTGCTGTTCAGCAGCCAGCTGTCTCCATGGTGTGGCTTCACTCGCCACAGCCCCCATTTTACTGCCACCACCAGGGCCTGACTGCTCCTTTGTGTGTCCCTTTTTGGCTYGCTCTCCTCCCAGACATCATTCAGAGTGCCAGAACATTGCACCTACCACCAATGACCAGAAATTTCCAAGATCTGCTCCCCAGATCAGCTCTGGAATGATGCTGATGGAGACGACAGAGGCACCTTCAATCCCTGTCTCACAGTCTGAAATTTCACATTGTTCAAAAACAGCCATGAGGTTCACAGCAATAGCAGGCCAGTGTGAAAGTATCCGTGCTGTTTGAGGTTCAAGCAGTGTCACTCCTCTAAAACAGGACTGCAGAACATGCAAGGCACATGTGATGGAATGAAACCATCTTCCCTGAGCAGGAGTGAGACAGCAGTTGYTGTCCAGAAGGGAATCCATTCTTGGCCAGGAATTTCAGCATGGTCTCTCTAAACTCATTCTGTGTGAGAAATACAGGGAATTAACATGGGACTGAATCTTCACTTTCTAAGGCAGGAAAGCTTACTGAAGGAATTTTTAGCTCAGCAATGGCTCTGGCCATCTTGTACCTTCTTCATTCTGCTCTTCACACGCAGAGTGTTCAGAGCTCTGTGTTTTCATAGCTGCTGTTGCACCTGTTTTGATTGTTCCCCTCAGTTTCAAGGACATCTTATGTGCTATCTGTTGTTAGTTGTCCTTGCAAAACTTCCTCTCTCTSTTAACTGGTCCTTGCCCAGCTACATTCTGGTCCTGACAGTGTTTAAAACAYTGTTATTTACTGCCACTGGTTACCATCACACACAGAGAAATCAAAGGATTGTGGGGAAACTTGTTTTTCATAAGATTTSTGGCCATCAGAATGAGCTGACTAAATCAAGAATAGAACATACAAATCTGATTGTCTGTTGTTGAAAAGTATGTTTCTAAAAGCCAGAATGATGGGAAAGAAATGCCTTCATGTCATGACCTAAAATTCATCAAATGCCAGTTTTGCTCATAAACTTACAGATAAGGAATTTTTGCAATAGAATGACAATTGCTACCCCTCTTATTCTCATCAATCACATCCTGCTGAGAAGGCAGCAACCTCTGAAAGTCCCAGAAATATTCCTGACTTAAATACTGCAAGAAGATCTCTGTCTTTGTGCTTCACAGGTGGCAAACCAGAACAACTGGCTTGTGTTTTAACGTGGCCAGTGGACATTTTCCTACTAAATTTGTTGGTAAATTTGTTAAACTACCTCCTCCWGGTTCTATTTGCCAATAAAACCTGATTTGTTTGAATTTTAGTAGTTTTTTCCCCCTAGTTTTAACCCACCCTCTTCCATTTTGGCTGAGGAACACTTGTTTSAAGCAGGAAGGCCCAGCAGCGAAAATCTTGGCTTGAGGTTCAGTTCTCTCWTACTTCTACTGTGCACTTCTCTGACAGTTGTAATGGTTTCTTTTTTTTCTATAAACTGCAGATCTGAACCACTAAAAACCATAAATCGTTTCCTGCCCCAAAATTCTGACACTGACTTTAAAAGAATTTAATTAAAAAAAAATTTATTTACACTTTTTTTTTTATATATCTGAGCTTCATTTAAGTAGTACTTTCCAGCTGTTCTTTTCAATATCAAGGACTTTGTGCTTTGTAGATGGAAACTGAGGTTTTGGCATGGTTTTGTGATTTTTCCATAAACAGRCCTTTATGGAAAACACAGAGAATCCTGAGAAAGATGCAAGACTTGTCAGTGAGCCACTTTACAAGTGTCTAACCATGTTAAGACATTCCAACTGACAAGCTGTTCACTACATGGTAGTGGGAAGGGGCACRTTCATTCCCCAAAATCCTTCTCCCATTCACCACAGGAAGCTCAGAATTTAGATCTTGCTACTCGTATAAAACAATACTTTAAAGCAATTCTGTGGCTGTTATCAATGGATAGACTTGGGATAAACTTGTAGAAAGCTTCAAACTTCCTAATTTTCAGACATTTTGCCTGATAATTTCCAAAAAAAAAATATACGGTATTTGCTCTGCAGTCAGCACTTTAGTTAACAATTTAAGCATGTATATGTTTGATTGCTATGGATTTACACACAGAAAAAGCATGAAAGGAAACTCATACCTCTAAAGGGATCCACATTTAACAGGAATGCATAGGAATCATCCTACAGAATCGATCTACAGGTGCCAACTGCCAAATCTCCACCATGCAACCCACAAGGGCAACTTGGGGGAATAACATAGACCTTACCCCAAACTCCTGAAGGTCTCTCCAATTTCCTAAGATAAAGTTCCAGACTAAAGCTGGCAGTGTTGAGTAGAGAATGAAAAGCCTGAGATGACAACTCACAGTGCCATGATTCCCGTGCAGCTGTGGGGGACCCTGCATTTTGGAGTTTGTCAGGCTGAGTATATGGATATTTATGTGTGATAGGCAGCTTTGACAACGCAGGTTTCAAAGCCACTCCTGCTCCTGTCTTTCAGGATTTTCCTACCCACAAGTTTGTGCTTTTTGATTCTTAGCAACCCCAGTCATATCTTTTCAYGATGCTCCATTGCTGACTGCTAATTGCAATCCCAGACACAGCCTTGGCTGCTAAATTACACTCAAGCAATGCTTTCTTGGGCAAACCATCTTCTCTCTTGATGTGCCTGTTCATTGCTTTAAGAAGTGCTTGAAATTYGTTCAATCCTTGTGAATGATGGATTGAACTCTTTAAGGCAGTCATTTCCTTCTCAGGGCTTTCCTAGGAATGCAGACTAGGAAATACATAAGGAGATTCCATCTTTAATCAGCTCACTTAATCTCTTTATGAAAAACTGTTGCTAATGGAACTTTCCAGGTGAGGAACAGCCCAACCTTATCTCAGTGTATCCAGGGATGTGCTTTGCAGCACCACCCCAAATACTGAGTGGGTGGTTGCAGAAAGTGGTGTGGGAGCGA